TTTCCTCTTATCCCCTGGGAGTTAGGAAGAGGATTAAGAGTAATTAGAAAAGGGACTTGTTTGGGAAGGCCTTTTTCTTTCCCTCCGGCAACATTGAATCCCGGCAAAAAAGCCACACAGCCTCCAGATGCCTTTGCCTTCCCCAAGGTGGGGAAGCTTCTAGTGGGGGAGATGGGTGTGGGGCCTGAAGCCCACTGGGGAGTGGTGTCATCTGCCACATTTCCTGCTCCTAGGTCTGTAGAGGTTGTATATAGTTATTCAGTGGTAGGTGGGAAGGGTCTTTCTGCACATGCTAAGAGAAGCTCTCTCTGGGACTATTGGTGTACTTCTACTATTCAGGCAGCCCTGACTGTTGGCAACTGTGCGACAGGCAGAAATTCATTAGGTGTAGCAAATCTCCCCCCCCCCCCAAGCAAAATCAGAGGAGTCTGATACTAGGGAAAGAAGGGAAGCAACAGCTTCCACCAGTCGGGATTCCCTACCCAGCAAGAAGATGCCCTGGCTGAAGATGAGACAAGTTGGTGTCCAGAGAAAAGGGATCTTCTAAATTTTCTCCACAGCTCCTGGTAAGAGTCCTCCACTCACACTCAAAGGGTCAAGTGGATTAATCGTGGCATGCTGGCAACCTGTAGCCTGTGCTGTCTTAGTTTATCACAACTGGGGCAAGAGCTCTGACTATGTCCACTTCCGGGGGGTGGGGGTGTGCTGGGCTGCGGTGACAACATGGGGATTGGGACCCCCCTCAGGCTGCAATTGACATGCTCCAAAACCGAGTGCCTGATGCCATCTGGTGGCTGTGGAGGGGTGCAGCCACCAAGAATATCTCACCCCTTACAAGATTTGGGGGTAAAGGAGTGAAATATCATTTGATATTTAAAACAACAACAACAACAACAACAGCAACAGCAACATAATCATTATTATACCTGCCATCATAGGAGCAGCCTCTGAATAGCAGTTGCTGGAAAACACAGGCGGGGAGAAGGCTCTTAGGCCCTGATCCTGCTTGCAGGCTTCCCATGGAGGCATCTGGCTGGCCAAGCTGAGGATTCAGGACCAGACGGGGCCACTTGAGCCTGCAAGCTTGCCTTACCTTTTCATGACTGAGGGAGGGTATTTACAGGATGAATACTCACTAAATCCCCCTGGTGGCATCAGTGGGGGGGGGGAGTCATAAACATTTATTTGAAATTGCCAGGGAGGAAACTTGGTTGAATGGAACTTACTTGTGCGTAGACATTATAGAAGGATCTTGGCCATGGGGAAGGATGTCTCTAGGTAACACAGCCACACAGAACCTCTGCTTCCATGCTAGCTGGGCTAAAGGGATATGTGGCAATTGAGAAAGGAGCCTTTTAGCCTGTGAATGTGGTACAGCCTTGGAGGTTTATGGCCTCTTTGGCTGAGTTTGATGGCAAGGCAGCATCTAGCTGCCGCCCCCCCCCCACCTCCCCAGCACATCAGGCACAACTGCACCAGTGGAGACGTTCTCCAGTACACAACCCCTGGTCCATGGGGGTTGCTCTCCATGGCAGGGAGGTGATGCCCCAAGCAATGGGGTGGTCAGCAGCCCCCAGATTTCAGGCCAAAAAGAAGATGAGTCAAACAGATTTCAGTACCGCAGCCAGTGATCCTCCCTGCAGAGTCCTGCAGGAAGTGACAGATAATAGAAGCCCAGAATTGTAGAGCTAGAAGGGACCACAAGAGTCCTCTAGACCAACCTCCTGCAATGCAGGAATCTCAGCTAAGGCATCCATGGCAGCTGACCACCCAACCTCAGTTTAAAAATCACCAGGGAAGGAAAGTCCATGATCAAATGAATTAATTCTGAATTACTTAGGTCTAACTAAGTGAAAAACTGTGGTTTATTTGAGTAAACGGGGATTGTTATTATTTTCCTAGACACAGAATTTGGATTCTGAAAAAGATGACATATGATTCTATGTTCCGGCACAGAGCAACTGAAGGGCAGGGAGCTGCTGCCACAGAGATGGCAAGACTTGCAATGTTTCAGCAGCCCCTGGAGTTCCCAGAGGTATCTCCTCTGCCCTAAGGGCAGTAGCAACAGACTGCAGCTCCAGGGATTCTTTTTTTTTAAGAGCAGGAGCAAATATGTCCTCTGCCAGAGCACCAGCCAGGGCAGCTGATGGCTCCTCCTTGTTCTGGCATATAAAAGAGGTGGAAAAGAGTGTTTATTCTTATTAATAATAGTACTTATTTTGCTAGGTTGTTTACTTAAAAGCTGAATTTTGCATTTTGGTTGGCTGAAGGCTGCCTTTTGTAATAGCTCAGGGTGTTTTTCTGCAGCCAAAGGTCAGGTCAGCATCACTGAGTTTGATGGAGCTCTCTGGTCACTGTGCACAGGAGGAAGGCAGTCATGTGTTCAGTCTCTTCTGGGGGTGTGGTTGATGTGTGTGCCATGATGAGATCCTGCACTTCCAAATCTACTATTACACTTCTGGCCATAAGCTGACCACCAGTGGTCTGCAAGCTTTATTCAGGTGGCCTGTGGTGTACCTGTAAAACTGCCATTAAAAACCATGCAGCACCTAGCACAGTGCACTACCGTTGCTATGATGTGACTGTGGGTGCACAAGCAGAAAAAGAAAAACCATCCTGTTTGTGGGGCATTTGGGGTGCAGACAAAGTGTGTGAGGCAAGTCATAAGAAAACTGAAGTGGATTGCAGTGAAATGAACTAACTTCCCCTGCCAGGATGGGCAAAGCTCAGAGAAGTCTAGCAGGATTTCAGAGGATTGGATAGGCACATTTTGGGGAAAACACAAACAGTTTGTCAAAGAGATGAAATAGTTTTGAATCCTCTCTTGAGAGGGATCCAGAAGTCTGATTTGAGCCCAATGACCTGAAATACAGCAAGTCTGTGACCCCTGGTCTGCAGCCCCATTCCCACTTGCCCTGGTTCTCCAACTTAAGTTGCACAGGGCATCCCAAGAAAACAGCTTGGGAAGAAGCCTTAAATGCCTCCTGTGGCTCTTGCTTGTGGAAATTGACAGCCCACCTCCTCACACCATTTAGAAAGAGGAAAGATTGGACTACGTGTAGCCATTATGCATGGCAGCTAAGAATGGAGCCTCCCTCTTTAGAGGGAGCCTACTCAGGTGTCAGGGGACACAAACAGGACAGAGAGGCTCTGCTTGTGAATTGTGCTTGCTTGGCTGCTGTTGAAAACTGGGTGAACCTTCTGCTAAGTCAGCAAGGCAGTTCTTATGTCCTTGTGATCCCCAGACAATGCCTTGCATGGAAAGGGGAGAGGGGAGACAGCAGCTATGAGCATCGTCCCATTCTTCATGAGTCACTAGGCCAAGCAAGAAATTATTGCATAGCCTTTTAATAAGTCCCTGCAATGATGGAATGCAGCCTCCTGCGAGGACAGGAACTACCTGCCCTTCAACCTTCCTCAGATGAAAATAGGAACGTTCTCTTCTACACCAGCATCACTGCCAGGGGGACAGGGGCTTTTCTTCATGTGAAGATGTTTATTACTTTTTCTCATGATCTCTTCAGGCCGGGGATCACTTCCTCCAGCTAGATGGATGGTCACAGCCTCCCCCCCTCCACTACTGCTGCTGCTCCTCCACAGGCTGGCCAGCCGCCTTGCCTGCTTGGCTCTCCCCCTCAGACCCAGGACAAGACTCTTCCCTCTTCCCCCCACCCTGCCTTCTCTGATTCCCAGGAGCCAAGCAAAGGAGGAGGAGGAGAAGGAAGCAGCCTGGGTTGACACCCCCCCCCCCGCCCCGCTTCCCCCAGCGTGAAGCTATTTCCGTTAGCATACCTCTACAAAGATGGGAATCCAGGACTCTGCATGACAAAATGAGAAGCCTAATGATGCCTTGGGGGTTTTCCTTATGGTCTCGACATTTTCAGGGCAGTTGGAGACTATGGAAACGGGGCCTTTGTCAAAAAATGGGCAGAAATCCAGTCTGGATGTGTGGATGAACTGAGCAGGCAGATTTTGTCATATTCCCAATGCCAGGTAGCCAACTACACAGAAAGAAGTCCACACAATTTGGATCCCATGCAGTAAGGAACTGCAGTGCTGGGTTAACTATGCCTTAGGTGTGTGTAGGGAGACCTTGGCTGCCGTTGGCATCTGCCAGTCAGAAATCCATCCGGGAGCCCATGGCGCTGCCACCCAGGCCATGTGGCAGCAGCATCCTCTGTGCTCCTGAAGGGGACAGGTTAGGTTACCCAAAAACCTGTGTAGTCACCCCCCCCCCCAACCAGGCCTCAAGACTTTCAAATTACTTTCTCTGAGGATTCAGTAGCTAACAATAGCTAGCATTAGCTTTGCTGTAACAAAAAAGGCTGAGAAAACAATGCTTTTTGTTTCCCAGGCCTTCAGTGGCCTTGCCAGCAGCGCATCCAAGCTTGTCTTACCAATTGCAACTTTCTTCCGGGAACAGCGCCAGGAGAGCCAGAGAGAGAAACAATTTTTTTCATCATGAATAGAGATTGTTTCTGCCAACATTGTGTGCAAACTCATAAGATTGGGAGGGGGAAAGGGGGATCTGGAAGATGGATATAAACTGCTTGTAAAAATGGTTTCAGGTGTGCTTGCTGTGAATTATCACGCAGGTGCCTTCTGCTACCCCGGATGGCAGAATAAAGCTCTTTCTCTGAATTAACCCCTCGGTGTCTGTATTGGCTCCTTCCTCCCCCCCCCCCGTGCAATGCTCTTCCTACCCTTGAAAAAGGCCTAGAAAGGCTACACTCCCAAACTCCGACAACTTGTTGCCTTCACCATTAAAAAACAGAGCAGTACAATTTCTATTAAGGTAACTTACACTAAGTTCTGCCACCTCCCATGGAAGTTTTAGCTTAAAAATATTTAATCCCAACAATTTTATAAAAAGAGACCTGTAAGAACGGAAACAGAAATCTGGGTACAATTTTTCTTTTTTGGCACTTTCCCCCCTCCCTCCTCTTACCACTGCAAATTACAAATACACATTCTTCTTTTTTCCTGTAATTTTTTTTTTGGGGGGGGGAAGGAAAAAGTAAATTACTAAATAGCCCCTACGCCTTACTCTTGACAACTGCAGAGACACACAAACCAGGTTTCGAAACTAAAACAGACATTTAAAAAACATTGCCATGGTTACAATTTCACCATTTTTACAAAGATGCCAATGCCAAGAGGGGCATCAGCTGCCCCTCCAGTTACCCATTAATAACAGGGATGGTTTGAGAGGGGGACAGGCTGGATGGAGGCAGGAAGGGGCGGCAAAAGGGGCAGAGTTTCTCTGCTCTTCCCATCTTCATGTTCCCATGGAGAGGCTGCAGGTTTGCACAATCGTCCAGGAGCAAAGACAGTCCACACTGCAGGGCCTTCCGGTGTGAAAGCAGGCAGGGAGTTGGTGGGAAGGGGAATCGGGTGCGTTTGTCCCATGCCACAAGACAAGTGGTGTTTTGCAGACCACTCCTTTCTCCTGATCTAGCTCATCTAAAGCAGTTGTTCCAGGTGGCTTTTTCAAAAAAAAGGCCCAACAGTGCAAAATCCCGATGATTCAGAATTCCAATGTTTCTCACACACAAACATGATGTATTGAACAGGAACCTTGTGTGAATGATGGGGCTTTTGCTATACCCTGCTTTGGGAACTGAAGATGGGGGACCAAACAGTTGCCAGTATGGTCACCTGCCTGCTTCCTGTCATATTCCAGACAAAAAAGACTGGATGCAGCATTTCCCTCCTTCATGTTCAGAAGCCACTAATCCAATACACACCCACACACCATTCCTTCACTTGCCTTTCAGGGAGCCAAAGATCCACCGTTTTCTTATGTTGTTGGCTCCAATGTGTGCAGCAGAAACACTACAACATGAACCAAAGAGCCTGGAACTGCCATTTTTGCCCTGAGGTACAGTAAAAGTTGGCAGACAGCAGACTTAAGCAGCAGCCACAGAATTCTTTGAAGGCAGGTAAGACCAGCTGGGAGTAATTCACCAATCTGCTGTCCAGCTTCCAGAGACATTTTTCTCTGCCTTCCCTAGCCAAACCATCCCCTAGCTGGCCATTTTACACTGGTTTACATCCATGATTCAAGACAAAAATGGGACGAGATTTCAACACACGATTTTCGTCATTTTGTCACTGTTGCTCTTCAGGTAGTCACCAGTGGCTTTCCAAGCTCCTCTACAAGTTGGCCCCACTTTCTCTTCCAGCAGCTCAAACAGAGGAAAACACAGCACGAAGTTCCGCGGGGGGGGGGGGGGAGTGCAGTGGCTGCCAGGAGAAGAGATCCCTCTGCCCACTGGACCTGGCGTTGCCCAGCTCACTCAGGGACCAGAAGCAGCTTCCTTTTTAAGCGACAGTAAGGAAAACCCCAACTCACAATACACAACGAATGCACCACAGTGTTATTTTTTATGCAGCCATACAGGAGGTTGCCTTGTTGAGCAGGGATTAGCTCCAGAGCCTGCAAATCTTGAGTGCAGCACCCAACCGTGATACTACCGGGAACATAACTGGAGAAAACTTCAAGATGGAGAGGAAGGTGGCAAAAGGAGAAGGAGCAACATGGTCAAGCTCTCAGCCAAACTCCACTGGACATTTATCACTTGAGGAGGTTCTGGGAGAAGAAATCAAGGCTGTGTCTGGAGAGTTCCACGAAGTCAGCTTTATATGGATACTTCATATTCTCGTGTTTCCTGGGGAAAGAAAACAGACTCTGGTCAACGGCTGCCTTTGCTTCAAAAAGGGTGCCAGCTATGTCTTTTCAGCAGGGGAAATTGCTTAGAGCTTCAGACACCTGGTCAGAACTATTTTATTTCAGGGGGCCTCTGCACTCTGAATACTTCTCAGGGTTTTTTGTTTTGTTTTTAAAAAACCAATGTTTTGTTGTTGTTGAGATTTTACATTCTTGAGGTTTTAAATTCATGTTAACTTTTAAAAGTTTGGGGCAGGAGGAAGGAGTCACACAGCTTCACTCTCCATAAAAGGCAACCCCTTTAGGGTATGGCAGCTCCTCCATTGGTTGGCCTGCTCTGATGTCACGGTACATTCACAGACATGCTAAGCACTGAGAGAAAACTGCCTGCCATCTTTGACAGAATGCTGGCAATCAGGATGAGGGATGGGGACTCCTCACTGAAGGCCGAAAGAGAGGAAGATGGTTGTGGACTGCTGCTGCTGCCACTAGTAGGACCACAGACTGGAAGCATGCAGTGAGGCTGGATGTCATGCCTTGTTCTCAGACTACCAACGGCAAGTCTCTTGAGCAAATAAACCCAAGCTGTAACCTTGGAAAGGGCAGCTCATTTCATCCAATGACTCTGCTTACCATGTGGCCACTATGGAGAGGCCCAGAAACTACTGTGATGGCACATGGGGCAAGACAAGGGAGCATCATTGTGGTTCTTCGAGGCAGTTGAATGAGGGCAACATTCAGGACTGTCCTGAGACATTTTACTGCCTCTGTCTGCCTCACAATTGCCTCCACAGGGACTTGTGTGTTCCACGTGGAGCCAAATCAAGATGCTGCTTTCAATCCAGGAATCTGTCAACTCACCCCTGTCTCATAAATTGGGTTGTCAAACTCTGTCTCCACTGTGATCTGGCTATATGGGTGAGAGTACATGAGGGGCAGGCGCAGGCTGGAGTAGTAGCGGCACCTGTGAGTTGGGGAGAGAGAGACACCAGAGAGAAGAGTCAAGCGAGCAGAGTCCAAAGGGATCCACTGAGCAACACTTTCCAAGCCCTTCCAGCAGCACTCGTGGTGGGTGCTTTTGAGGGAGATGATGCATTGATGGCCCAGGACTTTGGGATCATTGGAAGGGGGCTGAACGCCAGCTGCCCCAGGGCCCCTCCTCCCACTCCATTAGTTTGCCACAGATTGACATGTACCTCCCAGAGCACAGTGCCACAAAGACAGAGCAAGGGTGCTGAGGAAAGGTCCCTGAGAAGCCAAGAGCTACAGGTGGGCTGGCAGAAGCAGCCAAGCTGGCTCAGAAGCTGAGCCCTCCCTCCAAATGCCCCAAATGCCTCCCGAACCAGAGAGGGCACCTGCCACCACCCTGCCTTCCTACCTGGTGATGTAGACGTATGCTCCCCCCAGCAGCAAAGAGACCACAAGCACTGGGATGAAGATGGCCAGCGCCATGTTCCCCCCTTCCAAGGACGTTTCTGCGGCAGCTTCAGCTACTGAAGAGAGAAGTGCCGGGGTGAGATCCTGGACAGGTAAGCACCCCATGGGATTCTCTCTTACAGGGCACCCAAGACTGACACCCCAAAGCACCTAATGGAAGCTGCAGACTGGAGATTAGCCTTGAAATGGATTTCCCTCCAAGGGCACCGTTAGGTGCTTAAGAGGCTTTGAACAGGCAGAGGAAACAAATGGGTGTCCATGTTCCGTGCAAAGTGTCCTTTGGTCCTCCCACACAAGCCCTCTGGGAGCAGCCTCATCCCGGGGGGGAATGCAAGCAAGTTGAGGGGAAAGGCTGCCTCCCAACTCTGCCCTTCTAGGACTGGGCAAAGGGCAGCTGCCAAATAGGCACCTGAGCGAGTGTGAGAGTTTCTGCAGCTCCACCCACCCTGGTCTTTCATGGCTTAGGGAGATGGATGGCTAACACTCAAGACAGATCTTCAGATATCAGAAGACAATCTTTCCCACAATTAGCTTGCGCTGAGGAAACACTGACTGTCTGTTAAAGCAACAGAGCTTTCCCCTGCAGAGAAGAGCCCAGCTCTCTTGCCCTCCATTTAGCCAGAGCAAAGTAGGTCTGCACTCCAAGCCAGTTCCTGAATCCACAAGCTCAAGGATACAGTTCTGTCGGGCAGGAAGATGGAGAAAACCCTGGTGGTAATTTCCAAGAGCAAAGATCTTTTTTGCCTGCCCACATGGGTTGCTTGCCATCTCCCTGACTCCTGCTTACTGGGCCGTGGCTGGGAGAATGTCAGCTGTCACCCATCCCAATGTAGGCAGGCTGTGAAGGAATGGGATCTTGTACGCATATTACATGGAATGCATATTTTCTGTGTTTGTTCATTGGGAAATAAATAGTTACTTGGGAAACCTAGCAATTGCCCTGGGTCTGGAATCCACAACTGCTATCCACGGCAGGATATAAGGCATGCATATCTCAGAGGAGAGGCAAATTGAAAGCTCCCTAATTCCTTGCTCCTGGGGCCTTTGCGGTGAGCATTTGATGGACAAGGAGATGCTATAAGAACAGGTGGCTGGCCAGGAGGCCAATGACTGGAGGACAGCAAAGGAGCTTGTGGAAGATTCTGTCTCTAGAACACGTGAAGAGCCTGCTGGATCAGGCCAGTGGCCCATCTCGTCCAGTACCCTGTTCTTACAGTGGCCCACCAGAGGTAAGCCTACATGCAGGCTCCGAGCACAAGAGCGCTCTCCCCACCTGTTGAGGCAGAGCACAGTCACTGCGGCTGGTAGCCATTGAGAGCCATCTTTAGGGAAGTGGGAATCTTTGGGGAATGGGCTTAGAGAAGGAGCAGAGGACTGCATTTAATCTTTGCTCTCTTGCTCTGTTGGGGAATTTGCTCTGATTTCCTGTAATTTTTTCTTTGGAATATCTTTTTCTTAAAAGATCTTACTTTTTTTTTTTTTTTGCATCTTAATAAACTTTTTGTTTCCTAATGGATTTGCCAATAAAGCACACATGACAGAAACTCCAAAGGAAAACTAATCTGGGTCCTGTTGACTCTGGAACTCGGGGAGCCCATGAAAATATTCTGCTCACCTTCTAAGGCATGCTCAAAGCTGTCTTGATTCACTGAAAGAGAAAGGCAGGTAGGTTAGCTTGGGGCTGCTGGATCCAGAGGCTGCCCCAGAGAAGATGAGGGAAAGGAGGCAGGCAGGCAAGCAAGCAAGCAAGCAAGTGGCTGCATCCTGGCCCCTCTCTCTTTCCAGGGGTCAGTACCTTTGCAGACAGGGAGTGGCCCACTCCAGCGGGAGGGCTGCCCCAGAATACACTTGATGGTGACCTCTCCGATGAGCTCAAAACCCTCATAGCACATGAATGTCAGGGACTCCCCGGGTAGGTAAAGGCGCTTGTAGAGGATCTGGTATCCGTTTTCTGGTAGGCCTGGGTTCTCACAGGCGAGGGATTCTTCAGCTAGGAGGAAACACACAGAGGAGGAAGCCTTTGAACATTCTTTCCCCCTCCAAATCTGGTCTGCATGAAGCTTCTTTGGTTCAGGGTGCATGGATTTATTTCTTGCACTTAGCTCCCACCTGTGAGGCAGGTTAGGCTGGGAGGGGCAATGGCTGGCCCAAGGCTCACGGCCAAATCCGGGATTTGAACTCTGGTCTCCCAGGTCCTCATGCCACACTGCATGAGAGTGTTTTTCCCCAGCGGCTCAAGCAAGACTGGCTCCACATAAGCAGTGCTGCTCTGCCTCTCCTGCCCCACAAATGTGTCAGAAGCATTGCCTTGCAACCTTCCCTGTGAAAAACGAGGGTTTTCTCACAGCAAAGGCCACAAATTAACCTGTGGGCTTGGAGCACCTTTTGGCAGCTGTTTGCAGGTGTGAGCCAAGTGCTTCTCCACCTGTCTTTTGGAGGGCTCATCCAACCACTTGCTGGCAACAAATATTGATTTGATGCTATAATTTGGCTCAGTTCCTGGCATATCCAGGGAAAAAAGATTTCTGGCACCATATTTGCAGATCACCATCTTCAAATATATGAAGGGCTGTCACACAGAAGACAGAGCAAGCTTGAGGGTAGGGCCTAAAACCAATGGATTCAAATGACAAAAATGGAAAATTTTACGCAAAGGTCATATGGCCATCTGTCAGGGATGCTTTAGCTGAGATTCCTGCATTGCTGGGGGTGGGACTAGATGACCCCCAGTCACCTCAAACTCTTCACTTCTACGATTCTAGATGATATGGAAGAGCCCTCTCCATCCGAGGCCTTGAAGGGAGCTCCTGCTGGTTAAAAGAGATCTTTTTGAGCCCAAATCTATCAAGGACCTGGACCTGTTGAAGGCAGCTTCATATGGTATTCTTGTATTTATATTCAAATGCCAACCCACAGGGGTTGCAGTCCCCCACAACTCAACCGAGGCTTCTCGTTTCCAGGAAGTGTGTGAGTTTTGCATTCAGAGGGGTAAAGAGCCCAACGTACAAACACAGTGGGGCAGCCTTGAGGTCCAGATGGGTGTCCCCGTCTCGCGGCTGTAACAGGTCAGGAGAGAACTTCCTTCAAGAACGAAGCCCGGATTGCAGGTGTACTGGATTGTGGTCCCGACCAAGAGCACGGGGTCAGAAATCAAACGGGCTGAGTGCTCCACCTCCCCAGGGTCTGTGCAGTACATAACTAGAGGAGAGAAAGGAACAGAGTTAGATGAGCAAGAGTTGGTCTCTCTAGCTTGCAGTATTGTAGGATGTGGAGGATTTCCGGTTTGAAATGCTTCTAGTCCTCATGAAAGCTTTGAAATCTGATGCCTTTTCACCCTTCAGTTTGAAAGGTTTCATAATAATAATAATAATAATAATAATAATAATAATAATAATAATTTATTTATACCCCACCCATCTGGTTGGGCTTCCCCAGCCACTCTGGGCGGCTTTCAACAAAATATTAAAATGCAGTAATTCATCAAACATTAAAAGCTTCCCTAAATAGGTCTGCCTTCAGATGTGTTCTAAAAGTCAGGTAGTTGTTATTCTCTTTGACATCTGGTGGGAGGGCGTTCCACAGGGCAGGTGCCACTACCGAGAAGGCCCTCTGCCTGGTTCTTTGTAACCTCACTTCTTGCAGGGAGGGAACCGCCAGAAGGTCCTCGGCACTGGACCTCAGTGTAGAACGGTGGGGTAGGAGACGCTCCTACAGGTATACTGGACCGAGGCCGTTTAGGGCTTTAAAGGTCAGCACCAACACTTTGAATTGTGCTCGGAAATGTACTGGAATGTGCTTGGAAATGTACTTTCAAGACTGGTGTTATGTGGTCTTGGCGGCCACTCCCAGTCACCAGTCTAGCTGCTGCATTCTGGATTAGTTGTAGTTTCCGGGTCACCTTCAAAGGTAGCCCCATGTAGAGCGCACTGCAGTAGTCCAAGTGAGAGATAACCAGCGCATGCACCACTCTGGCAAGACAGTCCGCGGGCAGGTAGGGTCTCAGCTTGCGTACCAGATGGAGCTGGTAGACAGCTGCTCTGGACACAGAATTGACCTGCGCCTCCATGGACAGCTGTGAGTCCAAAATGATTTCCAGGCTGCGCACCTGGTCCTTCAGGGGCACAGTTACCCCATTCAGGACCAGGGAGTCCTCCACACCTGCCCGCCTCCTGTCCCCCAAAACAGTACTTCTGTTTTGTCAGGATTCAACCTCAATCTGTTAGCCGCCATCCATCCTCCAACCACCTCCAGACACTCACACAGGACCTTCACCGCCTTCACTGGTTCTGATTTGAAAGAGAGATAGAGCTGGGTATCATCCGCATATTGATGGACACGCAGCCCAAACCCCCTGATGATCTCTCCCAGCGGCTTCATGTAGATGTTAAAAAGCATGGGGAGAGCTCAGAACCCTGAAGCACCCCACAAGTGAGGGCCTAGGGGTATGAACACTCACCCTCCACTTTCTGAACATAGCCCAGGAGGAAGGAGCAGAACCACTGTATAACAGTGGCCCCAGCTCCCAGCTCCTCTAGACGGTCTAGAAGGATGTTATGGTTGATGGTATCAAAGGCCGCTGAGAGATCCAGCAGAACTAGGAAACAGCTCTCACCTTTGTCCCTAGCCTGCCGGAGATCATCGACCAGCACGACCAAGGTAGTTTCAGTCCCATGGTGAGGCCTGAATCCCAACTGGAAGGGATCCAAATGGTCCGCTTCTTCCAGGCGTGCCTCATTTAATGTACTGGGATGTGTAAGAATTGCCATTTATCTGTAGAGCTGTATTTTCAGGTTTTTATTGGTTGGGTTGCTATGCTTGGTTTCAGACAGTGTTTTTGTATGTTGTTCTGGGGGTCACTTTTTGAGGAAAGCAGATGAGAATGACAATAATAACACTCGTAGCAGAAACCACAGCTGGCTGAGCTGGGGCTTCTAGCTGCCAAATGGCAAGGCATCTTTCTTCAGCTCAACCCCTTCTTGCACCTGCACAGCAATCCAAAGCGGGTCCTGGGAATCCCCAGCAGAGGCTGCTCAGGGCGGCCACATTTTATGCACATTGAACTGGTGTGATCTCAGCTACATGGGGCTGAAGACCAGCTGCTTGAAATGGCACAAGTTGAATCCAAGCAAGGCGGAGAGCTCAAGACGAGACTGTTGGAGTTCCCGTGAGATCTCCTGTGAAGATCACTAGGCTTCTGGACCTAGTGTGCTAAGAGGCCCTTGATAGTTATTTACTGCACCCCACATTTTCTCTCCAAGGAGTTCCAGGTGGCATACACAGTTCTCCCCACTCCTCATTTAATCCTCACAGCAACCCTGCAAGGTAGGCTAGGCTGAGAGGCAGGGACCAGCACCCAAGGTCAACCAGCGAGTTCCATATGGCTGAGTGGGGATTCAAACCCTGGCCTCCCAGGTCCTATTCTGACATGCTGGCCTTGACCTCCAAGCAAGGCAGAGGCCTTAAAAGCTCCCTTTGTGCTGGTTCCTCTTGAGTTACCTGCTGCAAAAATAGCTTTTAAGCTCTCCCCCGACTTGCTGAGCAGCTCCAAAGGACTTGGGCATACCTCTGTGTAAGATGAGATCGTACTGTGTAAACTGGGGGAGCCACCTCAGCTCTGCTCTGCAAGGTGCAAGGCTCTCTCTTACATGGCAGATGCAGGGAGGGTTCCTCAAACCACAAGGAAAGACGTGTTAAGAGTCAGGAGCAGGGCAGACGCGGCGCCAGCACAGGTCATGCCACCCTTGCCTACATTGCGAAGCCCATACTTTTCTCACAGAAGGGCGGGTCGCTGCTCCAGCTGAGGTCCCACTGGCAGGTGAGGGTGTCACTCCCGACAATGTCGTAGCCTGGGTCACACTGGTAGGTGATCTTGGACTCACGAACAAGTTCTGTGTGAGATGTGGTCTTCCAGCCGTTCTGGATTTCAGGCAAGTCTGAACAGGAGTCATTCCGCGACACTTCTGTACCCGGAAAGAGAACTTGCAGTTAAGAAGCAGCTGGGTACACAGCTGGACCCTGCTCCTCAAGCACCTCAAATACCCTCTTGGCAGCTATTTGACAGCTGCAGGAAACATCAAGTTCTAGAGAAGCTGGAGGTGGAACTCTCAAAATCTGGGCTGCATCAACCTGGGCTTCTCTAACAGAACATTTTGCCTCGTTCAAGGAGCTTGTGCACACAGCTTGGATGGCACCGTCTCCAGAAGAGTTGCGCCGGTGATGGGATGCGTCCTGCTTAGAGCATTCTTTGACATCACAGAAAGCTTGCAGCAGGGATGCCAACTTGAATAAAATATGGGGGGGGGCAAGTAGGCCCCACCCCACATAATCCATCACAAGATGTGGCACACACCCACACACCACTTGAATGGCAATGCCCATCAACTCTGGCAGCCCCTGGCCCCTTCAAATATTTTAGGGGGCCCCCCAAAGGGACATTGGCTCTTAGGAGTTGGCTCCTGTGGCTTGCAACACCCTCCCTGGTGAGAGGGAGGGGCAAAGTCAGAGGAGGAAGAAATCAGCGCTGTTGCTGATGGAAAGGGCTCTATGCTGTCAAGGTCTTGAGGCTCCCAAGGCCTTGAGAAGTGGGAAATGCAGATGGGGCGGGGGTGGGGGAAGCAGGCTGACAAAAGCCCATGGGACCAGCCAGGGGAACTCTGGGTCTCAGTTTGCATAGGGCCAGAGAGCCTGTGAGGACCATCAAGATGCAGCTGACCTCTGCTCACAGTGGCTGGGGAAGATGCGGGTCAGAGCCCAGAAACAGAGTCTAGGCAGCCACAGCAGATTCCATGCCCCTGACTGAGTTGGGAGGAGTTCCAGACAGTGAGAGTTCCAAGTCAAGGATTTGGCTGCAGGTCCCTAAATCAGCACTGTGGGTGGCCAGGCAGGATCCCAAGGGCCATGGATCAAGTTTGCACCACCATCCTCTGCGTTTTTGCTCTGGCCTGCCTGCCTATCTCTATCTATCATCTATCATCTATCTATCATCTATCTATCATCTATCTATCATCTATCTATCTATCTATCTATCTATCTATCTATCTATCTATCTATCTATCTATCTATATCTATCTATCTATCTATCTATCTATCTATCTATCATCTATCTATCTATCTATCTATCTATCTATCTATCTATCTATCTATCCATCTATCATCTATCTATCTATCATCTATCATCTATCTATCTATCTATCTATCTATCTATCTATCTATCTATCTATCATCTATCATCTATATCTATCTATATCTATCTATCTATCTATATCTATCTATCTATCTATCTATCTATCTATCTATCTATCTATCTATCATCTATCTATCTATCTATCTATCTATCTATCTATCATCTATCTATCTATCATCTATCTATCTATCTATCATCTATCTATCTATCTATCTATCTATCATCTATCTATCTATCTATCTATCATCTATCTCTATCTATCTATCTATCTATCTATCTATCTATCTATCTATCTATCATCTATCATCTATCATCTCTGTCTACTCTGACAGGGTCATCTCAGGACACTTGCACACCACACAGTGAAAGCCCTTTGATAGTCACCTCCCAGAGCTACAGTTCCTAGCATGGTTTAACAACCCACCCCTCTTCACAAGGAGCTCTAGGAATTGTAGCTCGGGTGTGTGTGTGTTTGGGGGGGGGAGTGTTGCCTAACAAACTGCCAGGATTCTTGGGGAGGAAGCCATGGCTGTTTAAAGTGTTATTGTGGCACTTTAAAGGGAGGGTATGAAGGGGTTTCAGTCACAGAGAGGTCCCTTTCCCCATGGGCTCTTCCTGATCCTCTCCCATAGAGATGTAGGGAGTGGGCATTCTGTGCTCAGAGAAACTGCTCTGCCACCCCCCCCAACCAGGCACCCCAGGAAGCCTCTCTTTCTCTCTCTCCTCCCCAGTTAAAGGACAAATGGAGGGAGCTGCCCCCAAACACATTTCAAGTCCCTCTTGGCTGGAGCTTGAACAGCTGCAACTGCTAGTTCTTAAAGGTTACAGAGTGGGGAGCAGGGAGCTGTCACCCTTCCAATGTTGCTGAAATGCAACTCCCAGCTCCCTCTCTGGCTGCTAAGGCTGATGGGAGTTTAACTCCAAGAAAGCCTGGTGGGTCATGGGCTCCTCACCCATCTCCAGTGAGCCTCTGCATCTTGCGCAGTCAGCCCCTCCCCCAGCTTTGCCCTTTCCAGGCCAGGAGGTGGCAAGGCCTCTGGGCACCCTTCCAGGCACCCACCAATGTAGTTCATGATAAATCCCTGCCCTTTTCCAAAGATGAGCCCAGCCGGGTCCGAGTGGAACTGGATGGTCAAGTCTGGCGTGGAGGAGTAGAGTTTCTGAGGCCCACTGCTGCCCAGGTAGTGTCCCAAGATGTGGGTGCTGACGTCGTCTCCATCATAGACAGTGAGGATATCGCTGTTGCTCAGGTTCAGACTGTGCCGGGGGACGGGGAATGGGCAGGCAGAGAAAGAGAGGGTCACCGTGAGAGGAGTCCTTCTGGATCATCTGGTCTGGGCTCCAACCTCCTTCCCACAGTGGCCAAGAAGCTTCCTCCAGGCTGCCCACAAAGCAGGACATCAAGCATTTGCCTCTGATAAACCAATATTCAATGGTATATTGCCTCTGAACTTGGAAACTCCATGATCTGCTGCCATGGGAAGGAGCAGGAGGAGTGGCTGCTAGACGTCCCTGTGGCGAATGTGTCTCAGCAACAGCAAGAACACCAAAGGAGCTGTGCAGGATCAGGCTCAAAGCCTCTCTGGCCCAGCATCCTGCTTCCCACATAGGCCAGTCCAATGCTTTCAGGAAATGCGCAGGCTGAGCATGAAGGAAGTAGCTCTCCTTTGCTGTTACTCAGCCCTTCTGGATCAGACCAAAGGCTCATCTAGAGGTATATTTTGGAACATGCCCTATTCTTTTGATCATAATTGGTCTTAACTAGTTTTAATATTGTATTTTTGAGTTGTTGTTACCCACTCAGGGAGCTCAAAATGGAGAGGTGGAGAAGAAATCTAATCTTGTTGTCTGTGTGCTTGCTTGATCTGCGTAGCTCAGTTGGTAGAGCATGAGACTCTTAAAGTTTTTAGTGTTTGATGTTGTAACTGTGTTTTTACTATTTTACTAATATTACTATTTTTTGTTGGGAGCTGCCAAGAGTGGCTGGGGCAACCCTGTCAGATGGGTGGCTTATAAATAATAGAAATTAATAAAAACAACCACCACCACCACCATCCCAGGGATGCAGGTTCAAGCCCCAAGCTGGGCAAAAAGATTCCTGCGTTGCAGGGGGTTCGACTAGATGACTCTTTTGGTCCCTTACAACTCTACAGTTCTATGATTTAGACATCTTAAGATACTGTAATCAAATTTCAGATGAAGGAGCAGATTTTCTTCTATTTTTCGAAACAATTGAACTCCATTTGGACCCGGAATAGTGGAACAAACTTGTCCGAACAGGGGTTTTCTCTGTCTTGACCTTAGACTGTTTCTGGACTTTGCTTCTTGAGTTGCCCCTGTGTTTTTACTATGGAATTCCTTTTTGGATTGCCCTGAGTGTGGACTTGGGGCAGCTGGGTCCCACAAGCAGTAGTGAAGGCCACCAACTTGGATGGCTTTAAAGGAGGATTAGAGAAATTAATGTGCCTAAGGCTGTCAATGGCTACTAGTCACAATAGCTATGTTCTGCCTTAATGGTTCAGAATGTGCCTCTGAATGTGCAAGTAGCGTGGGGTGGGGGGAGCACTGCTGTTGCTCTGGGGTCCTTCTTGCAGGATTCCTGTGGGGAACTGGTTGGGAAGATGATGATCGAGATGGGCCCTCGGCCTGATCCAACAGGCTCTTCTGCTGCTCTTAGCAGGCTGCTGTTTATGTCTGGATGCCATTTTCAACCAAGGTGGTGGACGGAATATTTTAAAACTGCACTGTTTTTAAAATTTTGGTTTTCCTAGAGTTCCTGGGCAATGCTAGAAACTGCCAGTACTTTGTATGTTGACACTGGAAAGCAGATGTCAAGGTTGAGCCCTGCTGTACATGAAGCCTGGAAATCAAATGCTGCAGTTTCCCAGAACAACTCAAAAGTTTGCCCAGACCTGTTTCGATCAGAGGCAGAAGTGGGATGCACATCCAGATCACTAGGAGAAGTTGCTTTTACAAGCCCCCTTGGCCCCCTGAGCTAGTTTGCCTTAGTGGTAGACCAGCAGGGAAGAACCAAGCCAAGTAGGCATGACTTGCAAAGTGATGAAATCCAAAATGCAAAGCAAGACCGTTCCCCAAGGGCATGGGAAAATAAAACTCGGATGTTCCTGTGCCTTTAAAAGAAGTCAAATGCAAATGGATTACAAATATCAAATAAATAAGTATGTATTCTGTTGTTTTATTCTTGTACTATGTTTTAAACTTCATGGATACATCCCCTTCATGGATCACTGTGATCCATCCCCTTCATGGATCACTGCCTTGCCGTGGCGAAGGGGCTTGAATAACTCAGAGAAGCTATGAACTACGCCGAGCAGGGCACCCAAGATGAACAGGTCATAGTGGAGAGTTTTGACCAAACGTGATCCACCTGGAGGAGGAACCGGCAAGCCACTCCAGTTGGACAAAGACAACAGGCACCAAAAAGTTATGACGCTGGAAGATGAGCCCCTCAGGTCGGAAGGCGTCCAACATGCTACTGAGGAAGAGCGGAGAACAAGTACAAGTAGATTCAGAGCTGATGAAGCGGCTGGGCCAAAACCGAAAGGACGCTCAGTTGCGGATATGCCTGGAAGCAAAAGGAAAGTCCAATGCTGTAAAGAAAAATATTGCATAGGAACCCGGAATGTAAGAACCATGAACCTTGGTAAGTTAAAGGTAAAGGTAAAGGTACCCCTGCCCGTACGGGCCAGTCTTGACAGACTCTAGGGTTGTGCGCCCATCTCACTCTAGAGGCCGGGGGCCAGCGCTGTCCGAAGACACTTCCGGGTCACGTGGCCAGCGTGACAAGCTGCATCTGGTGAGCCAGAGCTGCACACGGAAACGCCGTTTACCTTCCCGCTAGTAAGCGGTCCCTATTTATCTACTTACACTTAAGAGTGCTTTCGAACTGCTAGGTTGGCAGGCACTGGGACTGAGCAACGGGAGCGCACCCCGCTGCGGGGATTCGAACCGCGGACCTTTCGATCGGCAAGCCCTAGGCGCTGAGGCTTTTACCCACAGCGCCACCCGCGTCGCTTGTCTTGGTAAGTTGGATGTGGTCAAAAATGAGATGGCAAGAATAAATATTGACATCCTGGGCATCAGTGAACTAAAATGGACGGGAATGGGTGAATTCAGTTTGGATGACCATCATATCTACTACTGTTGGCAAGAAACCCATAAAAGAAATGGAGTGGCCTTCATAGTCAACAAAAGAGTGGTGAAAACTGTACTGGGATGCAATCTCAAAAATGATAGAATGATCTTGATACGAATCCAAGACAGACCTTTTAACATCACAGTAATCCAAGTTTATGCACCAACTACTGGTGCTGAAGAAACTGAAATTGAGCAATTCTATGAAGACTTACAACACCTTATAGAAGTGACACCAAAGAAGGATGTTCTTCTCATTATAGGGGATTGGAATGCTAAAGTAGGGAACCAAGAGATAAAAGGAACAACTGGCAAGTTTGGCCTTGGAGATCAAATCGAAGCAGGGCAAAGGCTAATAGAGTTCTGTCAAGAGAACAAGCTGGTCATCACAAACACTCTTTTCCAACAACACAAGAGATGACTCTACACATGGACATCACCAGATGGGCAGCATCGAAATCAGATTGATTATATTCTCTGCAGCCAAAGATGGAGAAACTCTATACAGTCAGCAAAAACAAGACCTGGAGCTGACTGTGGCTCAGATCATCAGCTTCTTATAGCAAAATTCAAGCTTAAACTGAAGAAAGTAGGAAAAACCACTGGGCAGGTAAGATACAATCTAAATCAAATCCCTTATGAATACACAGTGGAAGTGAGGAACAGGTTCAAGGATTTAGATTTGCTGGACAGAGTGCCTGAAGAACTATGGATGGAGGCTCACAACATTATACAGGAGGCAGCAACGAAAATCATCCCAATGAAAAGGAAATGCAAGAAAGCAAAGTGGCTGTCCAACGAGGCCTTACAAATAGCGGGGGAGAGAAGGCAAGCAAAATGCGAGGGAGATAGTGAATGCAGATTTTCAAAAAATAGCAAGGAGAGACAAGAAGGCCTTCTTAAATGAGCAATGCAAAGAAATAGAGGAAAACAGCAGAATGGGAAGAACCAGAGATCTGTTCAAGAAAATTGGAGATATGAAAGGAACATTTTGTACAAAGATTACCATAATAAAAGACAAAAGTGGTAAGGACCTAACAGAAGCAGAAGACATCAAGAAGAGGTTGCAAGAATACACAGAGGAATTATACCAGAAAGATATGGATGGCTTGTACACCCCAGATAGTGTGGTTGCTGACCTTGAGCCAGACATCCTGGAGAGTGAAGTCAAATGGGCCTTAGAAAGCACCGCAAATAACAAGGCCAGTGGAAGTGATGGTATTCCAGCTGAACTATTTAAAATTTTAAAAGATGAGGTTGTTAAGGTGCTACACTCAGTATGCCAGCAAGTTTGGAAAACTCAGCAGTGGCCAGAGGATTGGAGAAGATCAGTCTACATCCCAATCCCAAAGAAAGGCAGTGCCAAAGAATGCTCCAACTACCACACAATTGCACTCATTTCGCACGCTAGCAAGGTTATGTTTAAAATTCTAGAAGGAAGGCTCAAGCAGTATGTGGACCGAGAATCCCAGAAGTGCAAGCTGGATTTAGAAGAAGCAGAGGAACCAGAGACCAAATTGCAAACATGCGCTGGATTATGGAGAAAGCTAGAGAGTTCCAGAAAGACATCTACTTCTGCTTCATTGACTATGCAAAAGCCTTTGACTGTGTCGACCACAGCAAACTATGGCAAGTTCTTAAAGAAATGGGAGTGCCTGATCACCTCATCTGTCTCCTGAGAAATCTCTATGTGGGACAAGAAGCTACAGTTAGAACTGGATATGGAACAACTGATTGGTTCAAAATTGGGAAAAGAGTACGACAAGGCTGGATATTGTCTCCCTGCTTATTTAACTTATATGCAGAATTCATCATGCGAAAGGCTGGGCTGGATGAATCCCTAGCCGGAATTAAGATTGCCAGAAGAAATATCAACAGCCTCAGATATGCTGATGACACAATCATGATGGCAGAAAATGAGGAGGAGTTAAGAAGCTCTTAATGAGGGTGAGAGAGGAGAGCGCAAAATATGGTCTGAAGCTCAACATCAAAAAAACGAAGATCATGGCCACTGGTCCCATCACCTCCTGGCAAACAGAAGGGGAAGAAATGGAGGCAGTGAGAGATTTTACTTTCTTGCGCTCCATGATCACTGCAGATGG